AATGGTGATTCAATTTCCTTGAAAATGACTCTACTGGCTATCCCAGGAGAGGCGCGATAAGCAGCATACGAAATACGTTGACGTATATCCGCTGCTTCCACCAAAACTCTCTCCCTTTATCTCGACCGATGAAATGTTTACATCGGCCATCATAGATTAAAAACGAAAAAAAATAGGCAAACGCACAGAGAGAAAGAGAGAGGATGGAGGAATGCTGTGAAGGTGAGAGAGGTCATGCCTCAGCAGAAATGCCAAGGAAGACAGTCGACTCATCGAGTGACTCCATTGCATGGGACGATAGGCTCACGCAGACCTCAACAAGGCCTCGAAACTGCCAGTCATTCCACCACCAAGAACGACAAGGAAACGTGGGACTACACCTAGGTAGGGTTCCTATGAAAACTTTTCATTTCCCAAGCTTCTTCCAAAATTCGCTAACGAAACTCTCCATAATCATGCATCACTTCAAACTACTATACCAGCAATGTTCTTTTCCCGCAAGCGAAGGAAAGAAATCTGTCGATTTTCCAGATGTTCGGAAGACAGCTCCCTTCATGATAAGCACAGACTCTGCCAGTCTCGTGGGCTGGGAGGGATATGCAAGCTCTTCCATAGGCTAGAGGAGAGATGGCCCTGCACGCCAACGCTATGCACGCGGATCAGACGGCCTTTTCCTGAGAGGATGCTTGGTGTTTCACTGAGTTGATGTCATCGATGATGGCATCGTTCTGACTCAGCTCTTCAAAAAACGAGAGAGAAAAAGAGAGTCGAGTAGCACTGAGTTATGGCTGTTTTCGCATCGTCGTGGATGCCGCCCAACCAGCAGAGAACCGCTCACCCTGACTGCTTATGGGAAAAAAAGTAATTTCCCCCCACCATAACTGTAACATCATCTCTCAATGGGATCCACAAGAAGGGCTGAGGAAAGTGTCGCGATCCAGTAAATATCTACAGTGATGTCATTTTGATTCAGACAGTTTTCCGAAGACACTCGTCTGAATGGTTCTTGCAAGCGAGCCTACTTCAATAATGGGGCACGAGGTCGGGCCTAAATAAAGCAGCCGACGACCGCCATACCAGTTATAAAATTTCACGTATCCCGTTGGGGAGAATAATGTGGATATATAGTTCCAAAACGTGAAAAGAGATTGTTTTCGATGCCTGGTCCACCATGCCATCCTGAATTAGCAGGTCCAGAGGCAAATGCATTTTGAAATTCATTCCCGAGATGAAGCGCGAGTCCTCTAACGAGCGTTGCCATATTGTCAACCGATTCCAAAGCACTTCGTTTAGCAGCTTGAGTCGGTTACTAGCCATGCATTCAAGCAACTCAAATATTCAAATCAAACCGCGTTTTTCAACAGTTCAAAATGGTGGGCAAATGGTCTCTAAAAGAATTCGCTACTAGCTAATAAGGAGTCTGAAATATCCCAGCAGTAAAAAGACGAGCTGATCATTGCCGAATAGATTCCAGAAAGTTCGCCTTAAGCCAAGAAGTAACTGCTGAACGCAATTAATGTACAAATATAGGCCTTCCTTTAGCAGGCTTCAATCAAAACCCTCTCGCGCAGTGAGAACATCCAACAAAGTAACTCCATTTAGCGCATGCATGCTAAGTCCAGACGCTATTCTCGGCAAAATAAAGCCAATAGACTGCACACTCTATAAGCTACTTTAGGCTGGATCGTGCCGAAGACAAAGACCAGGATCATGCAAATATGCACGGAAGATCTGCACGCGACAACTACTTTCCCTACCTATATACTAATTTAATTTCCATGGGAGAAATAGACCGGACCAGTCCACATCCAGGTCAAGTGCACCATTTTCCAGAAGTGTTCCGCGAATACGGACATTTTCAACACCAACGACGCTAAACCCTGGAAACATGCACTAGTTTGACGGGATGAGACCTGATCCCCAAAGAGATAAGAACTAGGGACGCCTAGGAGATGGGGAAAAGGGAATAACACTTAAATACTGTACTTCGAAGGAAGAAGAAAAAATCTCAGCCTAAAGACTAAGGGACTGGGGGAGATATATACGGGTGCATGAAGAGAGGCGGAGAGCCGGAAACTCTCTTCATTAATCAAGGAGGACAAAAGAGAGCAATGAAGAGAGAGACAGTGAGAGCGAGAGAGTTCTCTCTTCATCCTTTAGATAAAAGCGAGGCTGGATCTCTTGAGACCTGGCAGTAGCAGTGTAGCCGGTTATGGATGAACGGAAATCCCCTATAGGAATGGGTTCCAATGCATTCAATGGACCCAACCATTCATTCATCACCGCCCCCTAGTCTTGATCCAATATTTTGTGCATTAATCGAAGCCACGGAACGGAGGTGAGGCTTATTAGCTATGTCTAGCGTGAGTCACTCGGTGCACACCCGATCAATCATGAACGTGGGGGTCTTTTCAGGGAGAGTTCATGAAGCTCTCAATCACGTTCCGCAGGGACTGATAGTATGCCAGTCAAACCTCGGGGAAAAAAAATTACGGGGGAGGGGAAGAAACAAGAAAAGCGAGGCGGAAGGGAAAAGAAAGACTCCCTGGCATTCCATGGAACAGGTGTGAGGAAATATGTTTCAAGAGGGAGAAGGACCTCCACATTGCTTTGACAACTACAGACGCTCATCTCCCCAAGTTTTTTCTTTTCTCCCTTCATCTGGGATAAAAACGAATCCATCTCCACGCTCCCCCTGACAGGCCCAATAATCCACAGACACGCAAGGTCACTGGGCACAGAATAACCACATTTCTCGAAAGTTATCTTCACCGCGACAAGACCAACTTTTTATATTTTATTTGAGAAAGAAAAAAAATCGCAAGCGGGAAGGCAAATAAATCAATTAAAGGTTTATTTTGACAAAAAGACCACCAAGACTATCACTATCGTCATCACCAATTTAGTGAACCAAAAATAGCATTGCCACAAAAATAACGAATGAAGAAAGGGAAAGGCCGACTGGCATGGGAGAAAACGTGTCCAGTCAAAAGCGATTAGAGGGCAGACTTGAGCATCCTTGTCGAGATTCTTCATTCTTAGCATGGGTGGATGAGCAGAGAAAAAGAAACTGAAAAAAAAGAGCCGCCTCCCATGGTTCAAGGCCGAGCTGGTGCTCACCTTCCCGGAAACTCCGCGTTCATGTACTCAACTGTACATCAGACAACCTTCCTCCTAGTCTTTATCATGGACAGCCATAGATCATATGGTATAGTTAGGGGGAAAAAGCGACAGGACTCCATATCCTTGTCTTCCCAAGATCATCCAACGCTTAACGGATGCACTCCATTCCCTTCATAACATAGGTTTTCGGAGGGAGGGGATATAACGTCAACGCGCGGTGAGTCAGAATCATGTCCCACGCCAGCTTCAGATTCATTTATACAACAACACGAACCCCACGTCAACCCTAAACCTATCGGAGAGGACTCTTGTTGACACCTCCACAACCTTATCAAGCTTCAAATCCCATTTATAGGCCGAGTCTGATTAGAGCCAATCCTACGCCACGACCCGTAGTGTCTACAGGTGAAACAAAGAAATCTCTTCAGCGCAACTAACCTTGCTGAAGTTGAAAAGTTGCTTCTGTTGCTTCTGCCGTTCGGCCGTGTGGTGATGGTGTCTGCTGCCACGAATGAATTTCAGCATCTCGAATCTGCTAGGCGAGATCCAGCCGTCAATTTTGCATTATGAATGTCAAAAGTTGGGTTACACCAGGGATACAAGATAAATAATAAATACATAGGCCCTCTTAACGCAAAATGGGCCCAGAGCCCATATCGTTCCTTCCTTCAATTTTAATTTTCAACGCAAACCTAGGCCGATGTCATAGAAAATAGGCCTAAGTTCATCAGAATCACCGACAAAGGAAAATGTTCGTTACACCTAATTAACCCCTCCTTGCAACGCGTCCACATTTGTGGGTGCAGGGCATCATATGGCGTTTTGTATCACAAGAATGTAGGTTGGCATAAATGACCACGATATTCTGAAAGTTGTGATGTCAGTAAATATAGACACGTTCTCATGGATATGGTTCAGAATGGGGGCTTACAATTATTTGCAATGATGGATTGCCGTTGACATCAAGCACTAACGGGTTAATGCCGATACAACAGCAACAAACGAATTGTTCAAACGGCATAAATGCATTAAAAAAGACGTGAGTTGAGGCACACGCCACAGCCCAATCATCTCTAGGCATAGGGATACGAGTCTACGCTTCTATAGGGCTACCAAAGGCCTATGGCAATGAAACGCAGTTTTAAATAAGCCACCTGCCCCGATGACATCGAGCAAACCAACCTGTTGATTTCGTTGCAGATTCCGGGCGTCAACCTGCGAACCTTCTTAAATTGTAGTTACACAGTCCAGGTGTGGAGAATTGAGACCGATAGAACGGTGGGCACAGACAAATACGATACACGCCGTGAACACGACTGGAATGAGTCTGATGCAGAGGCAACTAATGCCACCGACGTAATTGCGGTCCTCGCCTGGCAGCACAACCGGCAAGACGCTCTGACTGGAAAAGCAGTGTTGTCAAAGTATGGTTTCAGCCCTCCAGGATTCGCTTGGGAATTTCCTCGTCATCGAAATGAAAGAGAATGAAAAGACAGAAGGCGAGTCCACTTCTCAGGGAATGATGAAGTTCTAGGAAAGATGCCCAAGGAACTGAGGGGTCACCTGGAAAGAGAAACCGGCACACCTGCCGCTGACAGACTAAACATTGAGCCGGCGTCATCGGATGCCTTTCTGTGCGTCCGCTCTCATCATCATTCACAACTTGGAAAACCTCTCCACTCATTGCATCTTAGGATCCATTTCCAATACATTTCAGGCAATCGCGATCGTATTAATTGAAGATTATACGAGAGAAGGGAGAGTATTTGAAAGTGAAAGTTATTCTTCGTTGAACTATATGTCGATCTGCTTGTATTCTAACGCGCAGTTGGAAGCGACACCTAGCAAAACAATAGAGACTCGTTCTATAGGCAGCATTTGCTGTCAGATGTCCTCTTTGTCAGGGATAGGCTGTTCCCTTATGGCCGCTCACTTCTCGTTTTCATTAAGGAGCTCCTCGTACAACGGGAAGTCCACGTGTATCGTTTCCTGACGCGGACTACTCTCTGACGAGTTGGAAATGGTCCGCCACAATACCATACGCGCCAAATGTCCTGTCGTCGGTAAGTCAGTCCTAGATATTGTCTTCTGACCTACCGAGTCTAGCTTCGTTAGGGCCAATTCGTCTTAGAGCGTCAGACTCTTGACCAAGATTACCATCTGCCCCGTATATTACAGAAAATCCCGTATTTCACAGTGTTCGCGAGTTTTGCCGCGTATTGTGTTAATGTCCAACAGGACACAATGTCTCGTAAACTAAAATCAACTTTAGGGAAATCTAGAATTTGCCAAGTAGAATAGATGGGGAGTGTTATTCGTTGTGATTCGAGAGTGCACAGCATCATAGCAACTCTAGTATGGAGTTCAGTGGTCATTATGATGTTGGGCGTTGTTGATAGATCCAGCTGGTGGTCCTCTTACATGAACTGCATATCAGGCCAGACTGTTTGTCCAAGTTTTTGTAAACACTCTCCAAATTTTCATTCTCATGAGGCTTACTATTTCCATATTCGCTGCAATTGTCAACTGTCAACTTTCAGTCTGTATTTGAGTGGCCAAAATATGCAGTCCTCAGACTAATCTTGGTTTCATATTGACATAGCCTACACCTAACAAAAATGCCTGAAAATCTACTTTGTTGAGTCCAATATATAAGCTGAAAGATAAAAAGGAAACATCCAAAAACCACCCTTAAATTTAGGTATATAAAGCTGTTTAATGTCACTGCTGATGCTTTTGTCTTATTGATCTTTGTAGGTGACCCCTCAGTTGGGAAATCTACTCTGATTCAAATGTTCACCAGGACAGTTGACTTCCCACTGGCATACAACATGGTAGTACTTAATTTTGTTCTCATTTTATTCACTGTATCTTTCATGATCTTCTCAAGATACTCAGTTTTATATCATAGACACATGCAGTAGAAGTGTCTTCAAAGGCTGTCCATATACCAGAAACAGAGGATCGAGTGGAGCTCTTCTTTTTGGATTGTTCTGGAAGGGCCTTCTATGCTCCTTTTAGGTATAAGCTGGTAAGTCATAGGCCAGACTTGTTCATATGGCTACTTTTTTTTTAGGAACACAGAACACAAGAGAAAATTTGGGTCCCCAATAAATGTAAAAATGTCAACTCGTTTATCTTTTTGAGGGTGACCATCTTGTGCATTTTTATATTCCTACAGTATAATGACAATATTTCACTTTTTACTTTTGTCTCTTTTGATGCAGAGTTTGATCATATTCAGGCGCCTTTGAGGAAATCCACTGATGATTGAAGGAATGGAAGAAAAACTTGTTTCTCAAGCTCCATAGGAAAACAGTGAATATTCTAGTGACCATCTAAAAATGAGAAAAAGTACAAGGCTCACTTTTTAACTTGGATAAATCCCACAAATTACTGTCTTCAACAATAGAAAAAGGATGTATATGCATTCAACTATCAATTTCATGGAATTTTTTTTTTCAGATTTTTTTAGACCAGTTTTCCTTTCAGTTCTTTAATCGGTTATTTCATATGAAAATGTATCCATGTCATCTAATGGCATTCTATGAACTAATAACAGATTTTCATTTTGGAGTTGACAGAACTTGTGTCACATGACCTTGACTGTTCCAAGAATCCTAGAATAACTGAAAATTCCAGAAAATGTACATTGTGAGTTTTTACATGAGAAGGGATCATATCATATATCACACAGGAAAGGAAATTCTATGCTCCCATGGCATGGACATTGATCTCATCCTAGTATACTCTGTCTCACAGGTTCACGATTCAAGGAATCCATTACTCTTGCTGAGAATATTTCCATGATCTTCCTGCAGTGGTTTGATCAGTGTCAGGATTCTTTTCCAGATCCATGATCCCTCTGTGGTATGTGTTGTATTTGATGTCACCAATGAAGAATCATTCCGCAATGCATCCAAATGGTTGGAGGAAGTGAAGCAGAAGGGTGGAGATGAATTACTCCCAGGTGTCCTCGTTGGCACCAAGATAGATCTCACAGACTTGCGGGTCATCAGCCCCATGGCTGGCAAAGATGTGGCCAACTCACTTGGGCTTACTTATTTTGAATGTTCTGCTGTATGTATACTTCCTTTTTCAAATCCCAGGGCTCTGGCATGGAATTTAACTCAATACTTTACAGGATTTTGTCTCACTCTTTTTTACAGAAGGAGCGTAAGGACCTGGAGTTGCCCTTCTTTTACTTAGCAAATGAATGGCACAGGATCTACATGGAGAAAACGGATGGATTCAGAAGATTCATGGTTCACTGACCATATTAATGCATTTTTGTGGATCTTGCTGCACTGCTTGAGTCTCACCTGTGATCTACTTTTCACCTTGTCTAGTCACTAAAATTTCAGCATAAATGGCAATTAAAAAAGCCTTTATGGAAAGATGTGTTTATTGTTATTCTTTTAATGACTGGTGATATTAATAACCACCAGTCTGCTGTCTCAATCTTTGCTAGATTTGGAAACAAATGTGGCCCTCATGTTTCCTTCAAGAGACAGTTGGCTAGAGAAGGGTCTTTTTTTCATATTTTTTAATTCCTCCCCTTCCCAACCCCCACCCAAAGTATAAAACCCTCCCCTGAGGTTCTTTAGTAGATGCAGTCCTTTCTTGTTCCATTCATTGTTCATAATTTATTGCTGCAAACCTGGCAAAGTCTAATTATTGGAAAGCTCCCTTTGATTAAGCATGCAATGCATGAAAACTCTTGTTGGGAATTCAAAGGGCGATCAAGGGGAGACGGGCGAGCAAATCCCACCCGCTATAATGGCAGCTTGCCTAATTTTTGTGTTTGCTTGCAGCGAGTCAGGTCGGTTTCCGAAAAATCGAGCCTTGCTGGGCTCCATACCACTTGCGTCACCTCTCTCTGCCACATCATGACCATTTAAGTGAAAAAATAACAGCTATCGCACGTATGCCACAGGCCTACGAGAAGAACTGGCGGTTCGTGATATGCAGCAATAGTAGATTGCTCCATTGAGTTAAAAACACAGCACAGCAACAGTACTTCGGTTGCTGTGGTTACTACTGATAGACAGAATCAAATTGAAAGAAAATGTTACAAACCGATCGCTAGATCTGCCACTGTCCCATAGGTCACCATGGGAATGGCATATGAAAATTCAAGGTTATAGGCAGTACATTAATACGAGGGTTATCTCGAAACGAATGCCTCCGATTTTGACTACCACTAACTTCTCGTGACGCAAGCTCGAAAATGCACATACAAAAACATTTAAATGTCCTCCAATTCCTTGTAATGTTTCGTGATTCCTACCCTGAAAGTTTCACCAATGATGATTCAAAGTGGTGGAATATGATGTCCGTCACCAGCAGCGATTGAATTTCTTGCAAGTGAAGAAGTACCAGACATTCATGGTTTCCTTTTAAGGTTTTCGTGCATGTCAATACATATGACAGTCAGTAGTGCGTCGCTACATGAAACGCATGAAGAGGGAAGGAAGTAGCATTAGAGATCGGCGTGTTGTCACCTGTCACAGCTGTCAATGGCCAACTGCGGCGTGGCCCATCTGTCACTTTTTCCACTGTTCTCACAGGACGCATCCAACAACGCACTGTTCTCGCACCAACACGTGCATCGCCAAGCAAAAAAAACTTCAAATGAGGATGAATGTCTATCGGTGTCCCTCCTTGACTAGTAAGGAATTCAATCGCTGATGTCTGCTTGTGGTGGACATCATCACACTCACTGTTTTCAATCGTGACAGTGGCGGAGCTTTCAGGGTAGGAATCAGGAAACTTCAAAAGGAATGGGAGGACATTAGAAAGAATCTGCATGTACTCTTTTTTCGAGCTTGTGGCACCAGTAGTTAGCAGTAGACAAATCGGAGACGGGTCATTCCACGTCAAATCAATGCAAAAAGAAATTGAAAATTGACCTGACCTCCGGTTTTTATTAAATTTGTATGACTCGTAGGATCCATAGAACAACTAATCCACGTCAAATTTAAGCTTTTAGATCAAGAACAGGGTGTCCATAAAGTGACTACCTATAGGCAACTTTTTTTCATACTGAATCTGGGGGAACCAACTTTTTTATTTTTGTAGGCTGTCGATCTTTAGACCTCGGAATGTAGTCACAACTTTTGTTCCTAAACTCTAATGGGACTGAGAATTCATTTACCAGACCCTTGTTTCAATTAAAAGTTCAGACATATGGCTTGTGGCATTCCGACTTGTCAACCAGGGCAAATGGCCTCCAAGATCTACGGATTTTGATCTCTGGAGGGTTTTTTTAAATTATTTAGGGCTACTTAAAAGGCATTCTTTACGTGGACGAAGTCCACAGATCTGACCAACTTGAAAGAGCATATCTCGTGCCAGGTGCCAGAAAAGTGATGGAATTCTCATGGATGTTGTCGACAATGCAATTGCCAGAGCTCGGAAATGTCTGAAAATCGGCGGTCAACACCTTGAACTAATTTGTCGAATAAATTACTAATTTTGATGATTTTTAATTCCGAAAACGCTCTATTACTCAAGCAATACCAAGATAACTGCAAGAAGTTGTTGCAATAAGGTCGAATTGCAAGATTTTCGTCGAATTGTTGTCTGAATTTCTTTTCCATTCAAATAAATCAATGAAAATCATAAAACACCAGGTGTGGGAAATTAATTCTCGGCCATGGCAAAGTAGAAGGAGGAAAGATCTGACACTATTCCGAGGTCGCTACGTTGTCAGTCTACCAAAGTTTGAAAAAAAAAGGCTACTTCAGGGTCTATAATAAAAAAAGTCGCCAATAAGTAGTCACTTTATGGACACCCTGTACTTCGAGGAGTGCAACGACTTGAATGTTGCCAAAAAGGACCGATTTCAGGTCATGTGGTCATCACACAAGTACCCATAAGTTTAGTTCTAATTAACTTCTGGAAGCTGAAAGTGGGGTCATTTGCAATCTCTTTTCATGCTCTTTTAATGAGATTCGTGTTTCATGGAATTTTAATGAAAACAAATGTAAAAAAATAATTAAACTGGATCTTGACCTTGAATTCCAGAACAGTTTATTTTTCTTAAAATTAACATTACGGTATGGGTCAAAAGTAGGGTTGTCACGATAGCAGTTTTCAAAACATCGATGCATTGACCTAAACTATCGATAGTGTATCGCTGCATCGGGGGGAAGGGAGGGGGGTGCGCCGGATGATTCCATCTTTTCTCGCCGCGATCGGAGCGCGGACCTCTATCTGGCTTCCATAATCTCACGCTTGTGATCGGGGGTGTAAGGGGAATGTGTGACCTTCGCAAAGAGTAATGAAACCTATCATGCCTCCAACTACCGAAGACGACATCCATTCATCGATGGATGGATCAGGACAGCCCTAATTTTCTTCGTTCTACACTGTCTTTGGACATCGGCACCGGCAGATAGGAAACCTGCCGATGGTGCCATACCGGCAGTTGCCGAAACATCCCTACAGCCCTAGAATAAGCAACGTCCATGTAAAAAATTCACTTTGATTTCACCTTAAGTAGAGATAAAACGCCCCAAGGCAAGTTAAAATTAAGAAAGTTAAGCCTGCATACTAAAGTGATAGACGGGAATATAGAGGAGATAAACGTTTCGAAATGAAAGGAGTATGAGAACAGTCCACTTCCGCAGCATGCACCTCATGAGATCGAGAGATCGACTGAAACTGACTTTAAAAAAAAATATTTTATTGGGCTTCCCCCCCTCACCTTTCCCACTTCCTGTCTCTGATCCGACTTTTTTTCCCCCCATCCCGTCTTTCATTGCGATAAGAAATTGCTCGCCGTGCACGCCGCTTCTTCCTTTCCCCGTCCGGACGGACTGTATCGTACAGTACTCGCCTCGATCCAATGGGGCATTTTCCCTTTAAAATATTTTGCCCATCGCTATGGTCAAAAAAACTATCGATGTCTCCAACTATCGATAGCGGTATCGATGAATCGATTCTATCGTGGCAGCCCTAGTCAAAAGTATTGCAATACTGGAAAAATTAATATTATACTCCTCCAAAGGGTGTGATGAAACTACCCAATGAACACAACTCTTAACTCCCAGCTGCGTCCCTGCTGAGATTCACGCGTCTAGACGAGAAAATTGCGAAATGGATATAATCCTACTGTCCTGCAGCTGGGATACAGCAGCATCTCATCAGCAGCCATGAAACTGGTTATTTCCAGCAAGGATTCAGCAGGGAAGGAGCCGAGACAAGTCAGCTGAGGAAGCTCAGTAATGTCCCAAGTGTTTTCCTGCTGTGATTATCCAGCAGTAATAAAGGCAATTAGTGCCTTTTGAAGTGCAGCTGTTATTCAACAGCTTGCATACAACTGGCGAGTCTCTGTTGTGAGACAACTGCATTCCAACTGGGGAAGACAAAGAAAGAGTTGGTCTGAGTTGGTTACGTCATGGGGCGAATTCTATTGGTCATTCGGATAAAAAACTACATATGGCTTTCCGCAGTGTCTTCCGTTAGACACAGAGCATTCTCAACGCTTGGTAATTTTAGAGCCTTCGGGAGACAAAAGGTATATTTAAGGTTATTTTTGTGAGAAATTAAGTGGTGTATGTCGTGCTTGTGCTCACTTAATTGTTCGTTATCAGACCCAGGCAGAGGTTTGGAAAATTGGCGAACTTGGGAGCCTGACTCGCGGGAATTCTGAACTAAAATGGGAGGGAGAAGTTCTCCGGGCCCCTAGATGGAGGTATGGGCCTCGCTTTTCCCACAGTACACAAAAGTGCACATCCCTCTTTCCATGGAATCATCCCTCACAGGATTATTTAGAACCTCACCATGTCTTTCCTAGTCTCATTATAGCAATGAATAAAATCGGACACTTAATCACTTCTTATCCCATATTCGAGACATAATCATGGAGTCCAGGCCGTAAACAAGCTCATCTTCCGTTTAAGAGCCCCTTGCATGCTCAATTAGATTTCTTCTACAAAGGGTTATTATGACTCACTGACAAAAATTGATTCCTAATCGTCGTGTCTTCATTTCTGGGGGGAAGATGGAACATTCTACCCGCAGGGGAGGAAAGGGGAAGTCCCAGGTGACACGCTCTACTGGGATGCAGTTGGGAAAGAGGAGAAAATAAATGGATTCTCAAGTGGGAATGTCACATCCCACACAGCACAGGTATATCCCAAAGATATCCCAGAGATATCCCCTTGGGACAAGTGCGATGTCCCAAAGACAAGGAGTCGGGACATCTTAGGGATATCAAAATGTCTGGGCCCAATGACATCCCAAGGATATCCCTTTCTTGAAGAAATAGCACATCCCAGAGATGTCCCAGGGATATCCCCTTGGGGCAAGTCCTAGACATTACTTGTGGGGACATCTCCAGGGATATCACAATGTATGGAGGTAAAGACATCCCAAGGATGTCTCTTTCTT